AATCATGACTCATCACTCATTGCGCCGTAACAAGTTCTTTCTTGTTTCTTGTCTTTGGTTACACGGAGAGGATATAAATAAAAAACAAAATTGGTTTTCCACTTCATACTCACTGTATGTCTTTATTAAATTTTTATCTTTTTTTGTATTTTTTAAAAATTTATTTTATTTAAAACGTTCTTTAATTCAAACTTTATATTAATATTAAATATATGTATATCTCGTGTATTTACACAATATATACAAGCGTATGTACATTTGTCTATCCGTATGTACATTACATAACAACATACTAACATACATCGAGATAAGATATACAAAATGACTAAACGCGTCGCGTCACAAAAACATGACAATTCATTTGTAAATGCAATAATTTCTTTTAAACGTAACTATCACACATCATTATATGTATTTTAAAAAGCTGCGCTATAAAATATATTTCCTCCAAAAAAATATTACGTACTCGGCGAAAAATATTGCACATCGACTATTAGAAAGAGAAAACCGTCATTTACGGTTGTAGAGCGTTGTCTCTATCGCACAAACGCCGCTCTTCAAACCAACGACAAATGGCACATAATCTAGAATAATTATCTCTCTTTACATCTCTTTCTAAAGTTCGTCGCAATATTAATCGACTGTTAAATGTTTGCAAAAACTTTGTCTAAATTTCTGTGACGCGCAATGCACTTACACTATCATATTTATTTGCACTTATTAAGTTTATATTTTTATGTATTTTTTTATGATTAACTTTTTAAAAACTTTATGAGATCATTTATTTTTTCTGAGCCCTTCAAAGCTACATACATATGTGGTATTTTGGTATACTCTATGGTTAATCAACAAACTTCATTTACCTAGAATATTGGGGTATTTATATTGTAGGTCTGTACTCTAAAAAGGCAATTGGTCAAAATCTATTATATATTCACAAATTTAATTTCAACATATTTAACAGTTATAATAAAGATTTCACCCGAAAACACGTTTTAGAATACGGACTAACATTTATGTTTATATTTTAGGTACAAATTTAATTACTATAAATTTACACAGCATAAAATTTTGACATCACAATAGACACAGTACATAGTATTGCTTGATTATTCATGCTTAATTCAAATCAATTCATAGATTTTACATTATAAACACAATTTCTTTCTTTCAGTAGTTCCATTTTCTAAAACAATATACTGCCATTTCTGGTAGATTTCATTGTTTTTACATATAGTATGGTAGGATGTGTTATATAATGTATGTGGATTATCTATGTACATATGAATATGAGTTACTTGGTTATTTAATATGACCATTTAAAACATCAATGTCTTGGAATAAAAAAATGTTGCTCTGATGGTCTTCTGTGATAAGTTTTCAAATCTGAGTGACAAAATATTAGATTTGTTTTGAGTGTTACTGAATTCCTACATTAATAGACCAAATAAATTTTTATGTACATGGTTATGTCAAAAGATAAAAACTGGTTGTTAGTAGGAAGTCAGCAAGACACAACCAAATTTCAAGGCAATAATGGAGATGGTATCAGATAATCTTTATGTTGAAGACTCGTCAAAACAAGAAGCAAATTTCAATACCCTCTTATTCATAGACATACTTTAGGCCTCCAATAGACACATTCCTCAACAACCTGTAGTATGTTTATTAATAAGCTATGAGTTTGGTGTATGTTCGACATATTTAACAGCGCTTAAAACAACTAAATATTAATACAGGCCAATGAGTAGTTCAGAATAAAATAAATAATATCACTTTTATACAAATTTTAGACTAGTCGCGCTTTACTCGAAATTATACTTTACATATTTTAATTATATTAAAATATTATTTCTCGAGTATCTTTAGAGTTCATAGGAATGCCAAGCGACACTAATATTTTCATACTTTTCAAAATCTGAGGGTAGTTTAAACATTAATTAAAATAGCTATGAACAAATTGGGAACAAAATTTTGACCGTTTTTCTAACATATTAATCAGCTTAAAATATATAGAAGCGTTTCCTTCTATACATTTTAAGTAATAGTACAATATTTAAACTCAAGTTTAGTGTCAAATATTTACTCAACAACTTTTTAAGTTAAAACAATTGCATTGTCTGTGCCTATAACCCAAATAACTAAGTAGTCTGTATAACAAATAAATAAATTAGATTAAATTATTAACCGTTATCAAAAAACAGGTATTTTCTACTTAAAATACTGCGCAAATATGCCCGGGTTCATAAAGTACGACGTGAAAATGCGCTATAAAAATCTACGCCTCGTAACATTGACAATTGGTATTAATATGGAACCCGGTTCTTAGCCGTCAAGTATCCTTTGGCACTTGAATGATATAAGGCAAAGTTGTGTCACAGAAAAGAAAAGTGTAGACTAATTCTAGAAGGATAAGGTCCCTCTAGAGTTAGAGTCTACACTCTATAAAGCTTCCAATCAAGGTAATTAATATCCAATTAAAAGTAAGCTACGAAATATAAAAAGTTTTTTATCAATCTGTTAATTATAAAATATTTTTTCGTATTTAATTATGATTACATTCTGAACAAGTATTGTTTTATTTTAATTTACACAGCCCACAATGTTTCAATAACAAATCTACTGTACTATGTAAAAATACTATTGCAATATAAAGTTGTTTGGGAACATAACGTGCGACCTTATTATTCCCATATAAACCGTCTGGCAAAGCCGCCGCAAACTACTGTACTAGACAAAAATCCTTTGCGACATGCAAAAGCATGATCTTCTTTTAGTCTGAAAATTGTCACGCAAAGGAATCCCATATGCTATTACGTTATATTGTATACCCGATCCAATAACACTCCGAACCCAAAGTGGCGGCGTTCTAACAGATTCCTGCAACAACCCGTGGCGCTGTCAAATTCTAATATTATTTTTTGCTTCATAACTACGACACCTAACATTAGATTGTATAATATTTGTACACGTTCAGTCACTATTGTGATTTCATTATTACTTATGTAGTATTGCTTTTTTGGTGTTTTAGTTAGCCATAGTCTTACATAAGGCAGAGTGCAGACGGGGATAAAAACACATTCCCCTCAAAGTAAAACTTGATGAATTTATATTTAACTTTATATATTTTATGGTTCACAGCCCGTTAATGGATCAAAACCAAAGTGATATTGTATTGCCATGCATTGAACCCTTATACGCAATACTAACTACTTTAGATATGTACAAAGATTATTGATACTGACGATTTATGAAACAGCATGAACACGCGGTCAATGGGCCAACTAATGATATATGAAAAGTCTTTCGACCACATCCCGTCTGCACCGATGAGATCGGCAGTGCGAATATATTTCATTTAATCGATCTAATTTTGTTCGAAGCTATGACCGAGGGCCTCGATACATCGTATACGACAACATAATACGCAACGTTTTTACCTTAGATAACCAACGGTAAAAAGTTGGGTCATTTTTTTAGAACAATCTACGGCGGAATATCCCTCCACGTCAAGTTAAAAACGTTTATGACCTAAATCGTGCGCTCGATGAAATAAGTACTCATAAATGTAGGGTCCGTTATAATTCAGAGACAAGTCTCAACTGTCAGATTTTGACAGATAGGGTTCTGTCAAACAGTGACTTATGTCAAACGCCTACTTTATTACTTTTTTTTTTCAAATTTATGTAACTTTATATTTATTAATCTAGCGCACGCAGTTGTCTTATATACAGAATTGGTGTTATTTTCACTACAATTACACTAAATCCTTATCGGGTTAGTCAGCTAAGTCCATGTTTTTGGCAGTGTGTTCCGATAAATAGATAATAATATGTTATTATTGTATATCAGACTGATTTCTGTTTATATATTTTTAGAATTTTCAAATCATTTAAGTATAAAACAAATAATGGCAATAATCAAATTGTCAATCAAATATTTTTTTCTTTTTTAATTATTAAAAAAAAGGCTTGATTGCCTTGTGATGATAAATTTGTCTTAAAATTGGACTTATTGAAATGGAATTTAAAATCAAACAGTAAAAGAATTTAGTAAGTTATGTGTTAAAAACAGACCTTCATATTCTTCAAATAGCATCAATATCTATTGACTTGTCAGTGTCCCAGATCAAACTTTAGACATAGTGTTAAAAACGAATGCGTTAATTTGCAAGTACATTAATCAAACTATATTTCAATACTATGTATTTTTTATTATTTTTTTGGAAATATCAAAAACTTTCATACAGAAAAGCTTGTTTTTTATGTAGTTTAAAACTGTTTCCATTTCAATGAATTTATGTAATTCCTAATCACTCTGTATTTAATTTTAAAATGGCTACTTCGCATTCATTGGACAATTTCATATTAAATTATTTACAGTCCAATTGCTAAGGGATATTATTAAGCCCCTAAACCAAAAATATTTAATTGACATTTGAGTATTTTCTTTTATTTCTTTCAGTCAACATTTAGAAAAATCAAGGCTTGACAATTTTTTTTGTATTTTTTATACTTATCTGTAGCTATAACGTGACGTTATATTTGTCGGTGTATATTTAATTCATAACAATTACTAATCGGTATTCCCTAATTTAGAATCGATAATCATTTTACTTCTTCGAGTATCTTTTCTTAGCCTTGTACCAGTTCTAAGCCACCAGCCACAATTACTTACGACAACCGTTTCATAAATCTACGATTCGTAGCAATTACGACTGGTATTTTAGGCGAACCAATGCGTAAGGTCACGTGAGCCGAGGATAGGCATTTCCCATGACTTCGCCAATCCAGTGATGCACATTCAAAAGCATGGATTACATCATAGTGTACATTATAGTGAAGTAATGGGTAAACACTATAATCAATCAGTCCGTTTCACTGTCAGATCACAAACATCACGAGTCACTATAACAGGTGTAACTAAGTGTTTTACACTTCACTATTCTCACTATTGAGTCACTAAGTGGTCCGCGGCTTTCGCCTATGCGTAGGCGGGTATCATCGGGGCTGGGCGAACTGTCGCCTTTTCTTATTCGAACGAGGTTCACGGTACCGAGGTGGTGACGTATATCGCCGCTGTTTGGAGGAAAACGAACGGCTGGACCGCGGTTTCTGCTCCCCACTGCTGGGAGTGGTGTTGTTGTTAGCGTTGTTGTTGCTGTTGGTGGTGGTGGTGTTGTTGCTCGTGTTATTGTTGTTAAACCGCTGCTGCATCACACCTGTAAGAATATTTCTCTTGACTTGTGTTTTTGTGTAAATAATAAAAAAATATTCCATATATTTCACTAGAATAGATAATTTCACATTATTTATTAGTGACAAAAAAATTTAATTAGACGTTCATAATTTTAAAAACCAGCCAATACGCTTCTCTACCCAAGATTGCGCCGATTCAGTCGCTATGACGTACCATGATTATCAAGATATCTTTTTTAATTAAAGATTTTTTCAATTTTAAACTGTCAAAACCGATTGGCTACTCTATCTCAATCTCTTTTTATTATGCTTTCTTTCTTTAAAAACTTTGCTCAAGTGCTTGTGACCAAGTGAGGTGTGAAATCTATACCTGAAGGTATATTATTGAAGTCAGAATTGCTAGTGATATGATGAATGATGAGGCTCTGGTGCGCCGAAACGCGTCGCGGCGTCGGAGACGAGCATTGCAGCGCTGATAATGGCGGCGGCGACGTGCGACGGCCCGTCTCGCCGCCGTTTCCACTTGGTGCGCCACCTGATCCATCTGACCACTCCTGTAAGCACAATTGATTTTAATAAAAAAAATTACAAACTTACTGAGTCACATGGTTTTAGAATTACTTGATTTTACTAGACATTTTATTGGATAAATTGTTAAGCTATGGCATAGATTTTATCGCGGGCTTTGAGCGCGGCGACCGAATCAAGAAATTCCGTAACGAAAATAAACCTAACACACCATGACGTAATATAGGTGCGGCCAATACGCTTGAGAACGGGACAAAACGCATACTGCGTCTCACATCGGTCTGGCGTGATCGGTGACGTAGCGCAGGTGCGTTAGAATGGGACATACGCATATTAACATCTCTGGCGAGCTCGGTGACGTAAGCGCGGCCGGTTCAGCCGGTACACGTTAGAGTGAGACAGACTATATAGGCGTATTAGTCTGAGTCTGGTAGATTGAATGAATATAAAAAAAACTGCAATAGCTTTACCGCTGCAGTCCCCGAGTGCCACACGTTTTTTTGCCTTGCATTAATAAATAACTACACTATACTGCAATTCTTACCGGTTCGCTATCGCTGGGCTCTGGGCACGCGACGGTGGGCGGAGCAGGCAGGGCGGGCGGAGGCTGCGGGATTTGGGCAGTAATGTGGATCGGGAAGAAAAACGGGTGAAACGTGTCTTGCACCCATCGCCGGTATTGCAACACGTGGTCTGTGACACGCACTACGCGCCCTAAGGCACTGTGGTGCGCCCCCAACGCCCCGCTTATCGCTTGCTGCAGGATTATGTAGCCATAGTCGAATGCCTGAGGACGGTTTCATATAAAAAATATATAACAAATATTTTGTAATTATCGTGTCGCTAGGAATCGAACATCTTCTTGAAATTGTTTGTAAAAAAGACGGAATTAGTTTAATTCCTATACAATTATATATATATTTTATTTTTTAGGTACTACATTCACCGCAAATGCCGCTTTGGTACTTGTTTCAATTCCAGTAAATCCTCCAGGTTTTTGCACCATAAAATGGACTTTAACACAAAGCATTAAAGACTTCATTACTCCACGGGTGGTTATGGTAGCCTTTATTACTGATTAATAACAACAAACAAAACAGATATTATAACCCACTAGAGGATCCGACACATCCTACAAAAAAATCATCAGAATCTGTACAGCCGTTTAAGAGTTTAATTACTAACACATGCACAGAAGATTTATATATATACCAGCCGTTTATTTGCTGTACATATATATAATTAATCTAGATACCGACTCTATCTGCCGGGCAGAATCTAAACCATCCAGGGCGCCACCCAAACGCACACAAAAATTTCATTCAAATCGGTCTAGCTGTTGAAGAGGAGTTCAGTGAAATACACGTACAGTAGAATTATATATATAAAGAAGATATCAAAGTTAAGACTAAGAACATTCCTTACCTGTTTGACTTGTAGGGCGCCATAGCTTGAGCGGCCAATATCGTTACCCGGTGTGAGCGGATCTTCGATACATAATAGGGATGGGCGGTGACCGTCATTCATTTCCTGAAATACATATAATTAAGACCTCGCTTTAGAGGAAGAGTTCAAGTTTATATATTAACTCCCCTATTTCCGGGAAAGTATTACTTAAATTACCATATATTTTAATCTTTATAAAAGTTAATAACACAACACAATAACCCATTGGGGTTAACCACATTTATTTAACTAACATTTAAGTTACTACTATATCTCTTCTACCACACAGCAGTTTTCTAAAACATATTTTTATATTATTCTGTCAAAGAAAAAAATAAAAACAAAAAATTAGAAACTTAAAAACCCTACGATAAAAACTCAAAATAATTTACTTAAGTTTCCTTTCTCAAATTCGTGAAGATTCTTAACAACCTCTTAAACAATTTATTACAAAAATCTGTTTAGTAGATTTTCATCTTATAGCGATCATACAGACAAACATAATTTTCTTTAAGTGGACTTAATTGAAATATACCTTCTGTAGTTCATCCTTAGACAAATAACTTCCACCATTCTTAACCCGTATCGCTGTCTTCACATAGTTGAACTTTCTTCCATATAGCTCAAAGAACTCTATTAACAACACCCCAAGGTTATGGGTCTGCCGAAGCCTTTCAGGCCGTGGATGGAGTTGGAGAAAGCTGATGCACATCAGGATCAGGGAATATGAAGAGATGCCTCCGGTGAAGACCTCGTTTAGATCTCGTTGGAGAAGGAACTGTTTTAACACCATCACAAGCCGCGAGAGTACTGGGTATTTTTCCTGCGAAAAATATATGAAATTGATTATTTTTGAAGTGAAACTTATTTACGCGCATGAGGGTAAAATTTTTACGAAACGATATAATATGTACTAATGATATTTTACAATAATTCTTTATTTATTATTTATTTACACTTCGTTGCAAATAAAAGAAACAATACATAAAAATTATAAGGTATGCAACGGACGGCCTTTTCGCTTTTCGCAAGTCACGATTGATCAGGATAGGATAAGGTTAAGAATGATTATGTTTTTTATCACATTGGAATGGGTTTTGTCGTAAAGATATCATTATTTTGGTTTACATAAACACGAGTCTGAAAAACACTACGCCATGACAGACAATGCAACTTGTCGATAAAACAGCAAGCGCCAACTAGTGGCCCAGACTGTTTTACCAACTTTTGAATAGATATTCAGGGTGTTTGGGACGGTCTGCGCGCGTAAAAATTTACTCTCATAATTTTTCCCTAACGCGCCAAAAGAAGTACTAAAAAATATTTATGTAACAAAATACGAAAACACTCCAATGCGGTAACTTTTTACATTTACATCACACACTATGTGTGTGTGACTAAAACAACACAACATTAAACAGTCATAGATTAAAATATTCACAGAAACACTAACTATTCCTTACAGTATAGGAACTGACATGAAGCAGTTCAGTTCACTCAATGGACAACTAAAAACGTCTGTTATCTATGCAGTTGATGAATTATTTCCATACATTATGTCATGTGTTAAGCTAGGTTAGTTTTCGCTGAGGTTATGAATAGTAACTGGGGTCGATGTCGCCTCCAAAAATATCACGAAACAGATACAGAAACCTAAGTTTAAAGCGCCGCTTGTTATTTTTAATCGAGGCTCGTAACTTGTTTTATATAAGTTTGTAAAAACGGGATAGCTATATTCTCTCACAATACGAGGAAAAATCACGTACAAGAAGTAATTGTTTTTTTATTTGTCTCAGTAAATTCATTTAAACGATAATTTACAGATAAAAAATGACAGATACATTCTGGTTATCGACTAATTTCATTCCTATCTTGATTGTCTTATAACTGGAAACCTCCCATCTAATATAAAATATATAAAGTTACCAGCTGCCCCCGCGAACTTTGTTTCTCCTTAATGGGATTTTACTTAGCTTCATACCAACATGAAACATTTTGCTATACTACCCTTTTTCAATCAAATACTGTTTGATTTTTTGAAATAAACTTCTGAGTTCAAGTCATAAGATTAGTTATTAACAAATAAAAAATAGGGGTTCATCGTAGAGGGGTGAAAATTAAGGGTTGTATGTATTTTTGTATGCTGTATCATAAAAAATAAAAACAAAAATTTTATTAAAAAAATTAAAAAATGGTTTTTGGGGTGGACATCCCTTATCACTAAGGGGTTTGAAATATAAATAGTAGCCGATTCTCAGACTTACTGAATATGCATAAAAAATTTCATAAGAATGGGTCGAGCCGTTTCGGAGGAGTATGGGAACGAACATTGTGACACGAGAATTTTATATATATAGAGATTTCTTCACTGTCTATGGGTATTTGTAACGCAATACTCCGAGTAATTGAATTAAACAAACTAAGTGTTCGACTAAGGCATAGAGGCGGTAAGCAGGTATTTCGGATTCATTACCTTAAACTGTTTTATCAGCTCGGCACTCTTCACTCCACTGCTCATGTTGAACGAAATATCAACCTGAAATATATTAAAAAAAGGTGAGTTATGATAAAAAAAAATCAAAGTCCGGGGTCGACTTCATATGAAAAATGTAATAAATTTGAGGTACGAAAGTCATACTTGGCAATTATTCTCGAGAAACCTTATTGAAATTAAAACGTCTTAAGAGCTTGGCCACAGTTTCTGGCGGTGTGGAGCGCGGCGCGGCAAGAGGGTCTGCGAGAGGCGCGGTTTGCGGTGGTATGCCACAGCTCGACCAGTTGCGACCGCGGCGCCAATATTTAGAGTATATTAGTTAGTTTTATTAGTCGTCCCACAATTTTTTTTATAACATGCCTATATTTATGATGTGGATGTTTTGACATCCATATTGCTGGTCTACTCAGTATTTCACTAATAAATTGTTTTGTATCCATTATTTTATATGAGCTCAATGCGCGATAAAAACAAAATTATTTGTTTTGGTCGCGCGATGCTAAATGCGTCCACCAATGCCGCGGCGCGCGCCGCTCTTAGCTGTGGCCGCCTCGATACTCTTGAGTGCATTTGATTCACTCGCACGCCGCGCAGACCCCCGCCGCCGCCACCGCGCGGGTGCCACCGCGCCGCAGGTCGCACCGCAATGCGCGTCGCCGATAGCTGTGGCATACTTCATACAATTTTCTCAATTTGTTTTTGCCGCTCGCCGCTTTGCGCGCCGCTTTGCGCGCCGCAAACCGCGCCGCAGGTGACTGTGGCCAAGGGGTAACTCTTCGGGAACGTTCTATTAGTTTCCTGACAATTCAATGAAACAAAAAAATCGATGTTTTTTTATATACCAGGGGGCAAACACCCATAGACACTCACGTTGCTAGAGGGCTCGCATATGCGTTGCCGGCCTTTTAAAAATTTGTACGCCCTTTTCTTGAAGAATTGATAGATAGCCCTCCTCATTCGATTTTTTAATCGGTTAGAAAATGCGCACTAATTCGTATTTTAATTAAATTATATTAATATTAATAGGATAAATTACAGTAAATCAGCTTACTTAATACTTGAACGGCACCTAAAGCAAAACAATTTATATACCTTGACATCAGAGTATTTGTCCGTCATCTTCACGATGGGCACTGTGGCCTTTTCCAGCACTTTGATGCTTTCCTTTTCTGCGATGTCCTGGTTAACCAGCTCACGCTCCAAGGTCCAAAGAGGCAGCTTTTCCCATTGACCTGGAATTATTATACGTTGAAGATTATATTTAGGGTTTACCTACCTACCTTGAAATAAAAAAAGAATCTAGAAGAAACTTTTGGCATCACTAACAAAAATAGCAGATATATACTGTATAAGTAAAGTAAACAATTTAATAATTATCTTCTCAAATAACAAATTTATTTAATTCTTAAGTATTTTTATATAAGACAGTGTATTTTCAGAAAAATATTATTACTACAGACAAATAAAATCTAATAATGTAAATCATTCCCTACTCTACTAGAACACACAAAAAATGTATACCAGCTGTTTATTTTATATAAAGATAAATAACCTAGATACCGACTGCAGCGCCATCTGCCGGGCTGATTTGTGAATCCAAACCATCCAGGGCGTTACCCAAACGCATACGTTTAAGAGGAGTTCAGTTACATACGTACAGTAGAATTATATATATAGAGATAATTTACGTTTAAATGTTAGTGAGCAATGTATACTTCACAATTAGCTTCAAATAAGATTTTTGATAATTCAGTTCGTCGTATTTTTCGTCCAAAAAAATCACGAAATAAATGAACTAGACAAATACAAATGAGGAAATAAATGCGTGTGAGTCGTATGTTTTTGTCGCGTCTGAAGGTCCTTCTTCACGTACCATATCCAGCTAACCGAGAATAACCAGCATCCATTGTAATCTTTTTTATTCTTACCACCACTTTATAGATTTTTTTTATCGCTATCACAAGTTGTACCTATTAACTATATTAAATCATTTATGAATTTAATAATGAGGTATAGAAATTAATATATTGTTACGAAGACGGGTCGACTACAATGTTTCTAGATTTTTCCACTAGTTAGAGAACTTTTCAGCAGGCTGAAATGTGATTTCTGACCGTTTCAGGAGAGGGTCAATCACATATTAGAAAATCGTAATTTACATAATGTCACCCTAGTTTTCAGGAGCCTGAAACATTTTTTCAGGCCGTTTCAGAACACGTGTAGTCGAATGGTACACTTTTCAGGAAACCCGTTTTCAGGCGTTTTCAGGCCTGGTTATACCCCTTTGATGAAGGAATGTTCTAGAACGAATTTTCTAGGTGTGGGACAAGGACGGAATGATACGCGAGAGAGAGGGAAGATCGGAACCTTCTCGAAGCTAGACCGAGCACTCTAGAACGCCGTACGACAAGGACGGAGCAATGTGCGAAAGGGATAGCTAGTACGCACGTTCTAGAATTGTGCGATCGCTACTCAGTTGCGCTGCCGCCTAGAGAGTTCTCGAACATCGCTCCCAGGGATATATAAGCGAGCAGAAACGCGACCAGTTAGTTCAGTTTTGAATGCGATAAACACCGGAGTGAAAAAGTGCGAATATAGTGAAGAAAAGTGAATACAAGTACTGTGTGAAGTGCGTGTAATAAAGTCAATAGTGACAGTATTTTGTGTGTGTAATCAGTGAATTTTAGTGCGTAATTGTGGTTTTTAGTGTTAACAAATTCCTCGTAGATTTAATTAAAAATAAACCCTTGAAGAAATCTACGGCGTTTCTATCCGATCCCCTAGCTCGTAACATTTTGGTGTCAGAAGTGGGATAGAAAAATGCCAATTACTCCAAGGGAGAATCAAGAGGAGTTTGTGGCAGAGTCTGCAGCAAATGCGGGGATGCAGACACAGAAGACTGAGACAATAACATCCACGTTTGAAAACCTGGCAAGTAGGTTATCTAAACAAGAGAAACGCTTGCTTGAGTTAGAAAACGAGATTCAATGCCTTAAGATGTCTGGATTTGTGGAATCATCTGGAGCGGTGGAGGCACCTACCTTTGATGGTTCTTCGTCTTGGGGCGCCTACAAGGTACAGTTTGAGGCTCTGTGCAAGATAAACGGTTGGAAAAATGATCAGGCTGTGGCTGCCCTTATGTTGGGACTGCGAGGCGAAGCCCTGGACGTGTTAGAAGTCATGACAGGTGAAGTGACACTGACGCGACTGCTGGATGCTCTGGAGTCACGTTATGGGGACTCACATTTGGAGCCAGTCTATAGGGCTCAATTACGGGAGAGAGCGCAGCGACCGAGTGAGAGCTTGCAAGAATGGGGTCTGGAAATAGAGAAGCTGGTAAGAAAAGCCTACGCATCCTTACCAGACGTAGCAGACAAGATATTAGTGCAAACCTTCATTGATGGAATAAGAGATCGTGAAGTCAGGTTGAGTGTAAACCTTGGTCACCACAAGAACCTGAAGGATGCTCTAGCCCATGCGTTGGAGGTGGACGCGATTCAAAAATATCCTCAACCTTACCGCATTAGGGCTATCACGGAAAAAGCTAATGTTCAACGTGGGCCAACCTGTTACATCTGTGGGGAAGTAGGGCACATGAGGTTTTCGTGCCCTAAGAAAGACTTCCGAGGTGATGTGAAGGTTAAACGTGGGAATACATTAGTCATCGACGGTGAAGTCAATGGAACTAAGTGTGACCTAACACTAGATACTGGAGCTTCACGAACCGTAATTAAATACCAACTTCTGAAGTCATTTTATGGAAGCCCTTCTGGAGGAAATGTACAGCTTGTTACAGCTACAGGTCAGCGTATAACAGATCGGGGAGAAGGTATCGCAACCTTCAATATTGGTGGAAGATTTTACAGACACAAGGTTGTTCTTGCCGACATAGTAGATGACTGCATAATCGGGCTAGACTTTATGAAGCTGTACAATTGTAAAATAGATCTGGAAAAAGGAATCTTTAAGTGTGGAGAACAGGAAGTCTGCTTAAAAGGACACTCTACAAATAGTGGTTTTGACGTCTGTAGAGTTATCAATGTGGACGGACAGGACTGTAATCAACAAGAGTGGAAAGTTACTGAGACCTATGCGGAAGCCTTGTCAAGACAACTATCAAAGGCAGAGGAACAATTAAGGAAATTTTCGGACATGTTATCTGCCCATGAAAGAGAGGTTACAAGAAGTTCAGATGTGTCTCAACGGCTATGTGAAAAGGTCAACAAAAAGGACAGAAAGGAGATTGGCTATGTGAGAACTTTTAGAACAGACACCATTCATTCAGATTGGGGTGGAAAATTTATGCAGATAGCACAGCAAGAAGATTGTGACATTAAACCAATTCTGGATTGGATGAAATCTTCAGCTGTCAAGCCGCAGTGGAGTAAAGTCGCATCTACAAGTACCACTACTAAGAGTTACTGGGCTCAATGGGATAGTTTAGTTCTACATAATGGAGTGTTATGTCGCAAATTGAAAAATGCTCAAGGCGATCATTTGCAGATAGTTGTGCCAAGATCCAAGGTTCGCGACATATTGGAAATGTTTCATACTGACTTGTCTAGTGGACATTTAGGAGTAAAGAGGACTCTTATGAAGATTAAAGAAATATTTTATTGGATACACTATCGTGAAGATGTTGAAGACTGGATCAAGAAATGTAAAGATTGTGCAGCTATTAAGGATTCGCAGACTCGGTCTCCATGGGAAAGGATAACGGTGAATGAAAGTGATGATGCTCGGGACGAGCATGTCTAAGGAGGGGGTAGTGTTACGAAGACGGGTCGACTACAATGTTTCTAGATTTTTCCACTAGTTAGAGAACTTTTCAGCAGGCTGAAATGTGATTTCTGACCGTTTCAGGAGAGGGTCAATCACATATTAGAAAATCGTAATTTACATAATGTCACCCTAGTTTTCAGGAGCCTGAAACATTTTTTCAGGCCGTTTCAGAACACGTGTAGTCGAATGGTACACTTTTCAGGAAACCCGTTTTCAGGCGTTTTCAGGCCTGGTTATACCCCTTTGATGAAGGAATGTTCTAGAACGAATTTTCTAGGTGTGGGACAAGGACGGAATGATACGCGAGAGAGAGGGAAGATCGGAACCTTCTCGAAGCTAGACCGAGCACTCTAGAACGCCGTACGACAAGGACGGAGCAATGTGCGAAAGGGATAGCTAGTACGCACGTTCTAGAATTGTGCGATCGCTACTCAGTTGCGCTGCCGCCTAGAGAGTTCTCGAACATCGCTCCCAGGGATATATAAGCGAGCAGAAACGCGACCAGTTAGTTCAGTTTTGAATGCGATAAACACCGGAGTGAAAAAGTGCGAATATAGTGAAGAAAAGTGAATACAAGTACTGTGTGAAGTGCGTGTAATAAAGTAATTAGTGACAGTATTTTGTGTGTGTAATCAGTGAATTTTAGTGCGTAATTGTGGTTTTTAGTGTTAACAAATTCCTCGTAGATTTAATTAAAAATAAACCCTTGAAGAAATCTACGGCGTTTCTATCCGATCCCCTAGCTCGTAACAATATATATTTGCTCATATTCTTGTCAACAAAAAATATTCTCAGATACTTTAAAACAAAATCGCATAAGACGTGATAAGCAACATTAGTATGCAACTAACTTAACCTTGATTATTCTTAAATAATGCTTAGTGACATCAGACAAGGGAATGCAATCCCAAAAAAGAAAGACATCCCGATCCCGCGAGTTCTCGTGCCATTTTTCGAGATCAATCCTGAAGCGTAACATGACAAGATCTCTTAGTATTAACGAGATTAAGTATCAGAAAAGTTAATCTCTTCGATGAACAAGCGTATCTCTGAGCACCGAATGAATACAAGCGCAGCGTTGTTTCAATTGAAAATCCATGATGACTTGCAACAGTCCAAAGACGACGAAATTTACCTAGCAAATATATCGTACGGAAAGAAATTAAAAATACACAAACTATTACATCGTGTATCACCCTTTTAAACGCCGCTGGTAATAAGATCACTGCAACAGAAAACTAAGTTGAGTTGCCTCTTTCAATGATTGCAGATTTGAATTTACATTCTGCTGCCGTATAAAAACCAGCAACCTTTAAGAGAAATTAGAAGAGACACTAAGAACAGCTAAAAGTTATTTAAAGACAGATTAGGGCCACTTTTAAAAAAAAGAGGAATCTATGAGTGTGGGTTTTTGCACTTCGATTATCATAGTTTGTTAGCTGTCGCCAACCAGTGTTGCGTCTAAAAGGGCATTATTAGCTGCTGGGTACATAGAGACTGACATAAGATGCCCCATATCACACAGCACTCTCGATACTCTTTACTTCTGTAAAGTTATTTCCAAAATCACTCCCCTAAATATCTAGGATAGCTACAAAGGCTTGTATAAAAATAACGAATATGTTTCTTGATTTGTTTTAAGTAATTAGTTAATAAATAATAGTAACAGTTATTATAAAATATATAAGTTACAATAATTATTTTATTTAAAAAAATGTCGTATCTTAATTAACCTCATGAAAACATCTTAGCAGTTTTATTCGAAAACTACCTGAGATCACGAGGTTACCGAGATCTGGCGATATTGTATATGTTAAACTCACGATCTCCGCTCGAGATTTTATTCCCTACATCAGACACACTCCCGCGCATGCTGTTATATCGGCTAGTACTTGTATAAATAGACCAACTGTTTATGCATAAAAATAACATATTCGTCACCGATACGGTAACATTTAGGGACAACCATTGTTTACAAATAGTCTATATGAAAATTCACATTATTTATCTTTGGTATACGCTACATTAAAAGATACCTTATCAACAGTTTTTTGCTTATCAAAGCATAAATAAAACATTGCAATCCTTAAGTAATGTAGTAAATTCGCATTAGCAGTCTTTAAAT